TTTTGAGAAATGTTTTTAGGTCACACAGTATGATCATGCTGTTCTAGGAATTTTACTCCCACGAGGGCCACAAGAGTAAATATGATTATTTTCTCAGGATTTTCTCCCAAGAGGACTAGTCAATATTATTTGTATTTTTTTTAAATGAGATTCTCAAAATATTCTGCCTGCCCAAAGGAAACTAAGGCAAGGAGTATGATCAGTTTGCTATTTAACATTTCCCTGTTGCCTCAGATACATAGACTTAAAGGTAAATAGTGGCTAGGAGATCTCTATCAAACTCTAATTTTGCTGGTTATAAGTATACACTCACTCTCTCTCTCTCTCTCTATATATATATATATATATGTGTGTGTGGGCAGCTAAAACCCTTCCATCCTGTTTCTCCAATATTCCCTATACTTTTCAAAATAACATGCATCTCAAAAAAAAAAAGTAGTAAGTTTATTTCCCTTGTATTTCATGCTTTCCTCCCGAAGAACAAATATTATTACAGTAAGGAAAACAAGAGAACAGCAACAACAAAACCATCTGTCCTGTACATGCACAGGGCTCCACTACCTCACAGCTTTAGGGGACAAAGGTGGGTCATTTAACAAAGGAAAGCTGACTGCAGTGGTTAGAGTGAAAGACTCAGCAGATTTGAATGCAAACCTTTGCCATGCCCTGTTTCTGTGTGATCCTGGACAAGTCAAGGACAGGACAGTTCCCCAATTGCTCCAAAGTGAATGCAATTAAGTTTCACTGATGGATAAAAAAAATTGAGCATGGGGACAGGGACAGCAGTTGTGCTGCACAGACTCTACTACACAGTTACGTCCAAGGGTTGTACGCACTTCTGTTGGTTTTTTTTTAAAGATTTGAAATTCTACACTAAAGTAACCTAGGAAAGCCAACTGCTGCAATTAGAATATATGAAAATGTAAACAGTTTTGCTCAGTTTGAACACTGTGCTCTGAATCCAAAAATGATGTTTCCGAAGACTGATGGGGGGACAGGGGGTGAATGCTGCGAGAAATGAAGGGTATTGAAACAAAATAAGGAGGAAATGATGCAAAGCTGTTTAGGGCACTAAAGTACCAGCTCCTTGAAACTGGAAATCCTGAAGCAGGAATAGGGACCCTGTGGCCTTCCAGATGTTGCTAGACTCCATCTCCCGCCAGTTCCATTCGGCATTGACAGCTGTCAGACCCAGGGATGACAGGAGCTGTGGTCCAGCAACATCTGGAATGTCTCCAGGTCTGGGCTAAAGAAACAGGCTTTTTAAAAAATTAAAGTGAAAACTAAGGTCATCAGCAAATCAGGATTTGCACCTTCTATCAGATCTTGTGCTCGTGTGACAATTTTATAAATGTGCACAACACTATACCCAGCCCTGCCATTATTCCTCCTATGAGGAGGGGGGGAAACTGGAATTGTAAGGGTACTATTACAGATGAGAAAACAACTGAAATCACGTCTGGCATTTTGTGAGCTGTTTTTAAAATGTGACACCCTAAGCAGCCAGGCACGCCTCGCTGTCACTTAACAATGGTCTTGGCTGTGTAGAAGTATTTTACTTCCAGTTGCAATGTGGTAATAATGATATTCTCTCAAGTACTAGAGAACATAGGAAGAAGCATGCTGTTTCTTTCAGAGCTTACTTCCACAAATGCTGAAAGGGCCTAGAGATTCTGCCCACACACCTTGAAACAAAGGTAGGGCAGAAAAAGATGCAATGACTATCTCACACTCTGAAGAGCACTGGCAAAATCATTCGATTTGCACTCAGACAGGCTGGTGTAATGTAATGAAGCGTTTTGTGTCAGCTTAAAAACTATCTGCAGGGATGCGGGTGGTGCTGTAGGTTAAACCACAGAGCCTAGGGCTTGCAGATCAGAAGGTCGGCAGTTCGCTCCCGTTGCTCGGTCCCTGCTCCTGCCAACCTAGCAGTTTGAAAGCACGTCAAAGTGGAAGTAGATAAATAGGTACCACTCCGGCGGGAAGGTAAACGGTGTTTCCGTGCGCTGCTCTGGTTCGCCAGAAGCGGCTTTGTCATGCTGGCCACATGACCCAGAAGCTGTATGCCGGCTCCCTCGGCCAATAAAGCGAAATGAGCGCCCCAACCCCAGAGTCGGTCACGACTGGACCTAATGGTCAGGGGTCCCTTTACCTTAAAAACTATCTGCACTGTACAGAGAACGACGTGACAGAAGCCAGTCCTAACACACTTCTGACTACAGATGATTTCAAAAAAAGGTTAGACAACTCCATGGAGGAGAAGGCTATCAATGGCTACTAACCGTCAGGGCTATGTTCCACTTCTGCTAGCAGAGGCAACATGCCTCAGAATACCAGTTGCAGGAACTCACAATAGAGGAGAGTGCTGTTACACTCAGGTCCTGCTTGTAGGCTTCCCATAAGCATCTGGTTGGCCGCTGTGAGAACAGGATGCTGGACTAGATGAGCACCCTCTTCTTACATTTATATGTGGGCTAACTCAGATTGTTAATGTCACCATCACATAGCGGTAAAAGGAAGACACCAAAGCTTACTCCCTCATGTGCTGGTGTATGATATATTGGGAGTTTTCTTAATTAATATACAGCAAAGGCAAGCTACAAAGATTTTCTTAAAAACAAAACCTAGATCTGTCCTCCTTTCAGTAGCAATAGCAGTAGTGTCTGAAGGAGAATGGATGAAGCCGCCTCAGCTGCAGCACTGGGATGGCTAGCTCTCCAGGCTAGTCTGTCTTCTTAAAACATTCCAGCGGAATTCTATAGAATCGGGATAAGAGAATCCTGTCCATTTACTACAGGAATGGGGACAGAAGGCAAACCCAAGGCCAGTTCTATAGGAACATCGGAAACTGCCTTACACAGAGTCAGAACATTGGTCCATCTAGCTCAATACTGTCATCACTGACTGGCAGCTCTCCAGGGTTTCAGACTAACAGTCTTTCCCAGCCCTAACAGGGGATGCTGGGGACTGAAGCTGGGAATTTCTACATGCAAAGCAAGTGCTCCCCAATGGAAGCTCTTGCTATTTTCATTATGTGCTTGGGTACCCAAAACCTCATGGCGAGAAGCAAGTGGGGAATAAAAGGAACAGCCTAGAACAGCATTATTAATTATTATGTTACTGGCCACAAATGCTCAGTCAAGGGCCAGTAAAAGGGGGGAAAGAGTCCTTAGAATGCAGTTCAGGAAGAATTAAGACCCGGGCTACTAGGAATGCTGTATTTTAGGGAAAGCGTTACTATATAGTTTTTTGAGGCGAAAACCCCATTCAAGACCCTCGTCTCCAGTCTAAATAAAGGAAAGACTATGAAGTGCCTGCAATAATTCCAAAGTGTCCAATGTTTGCAGGTCTAGGCAATCTAGATGGTAGACATTTTAGAAATATAAAACAAACAAACAAAAAGAGGAAAACAATGTGTAAATATATGTATTTCTTTTATCCACAAACAACCATTCAATTCAGGCACCTTATGATTAACATGATTCCCATTCTCAAAAATATATACCTTCGTGCATATGCACATCACAAGCTTATCTAACCCATCAACAACAATCTGTATGCACATATTGGACGTATCTGTATGTTCTGTATCAGCTCCTGAGCACTCATAGCTCCAAATGAAGAGAGCCCAGGAGCTCATAAGGATACAAGAAAGACAGCCATATGGAGCAGCAGCCTGCTTCAGTAGGAGCAAATGCCACGTACCCTATCCTGCAGTTGCAGTTCCTACATACCCACACACTGCAGATGTACTCCCACATGAAGGAGGGTGTGCTTTTTATGCGCAAGGACTCCCATGCTTCCTACAAAAGACATATCTAACCCAAGAGGCAAAATACTCAAAGTAAAACTGTCAAACTTGGGGATATACCTTCTCTCCTTCTCTCCAGTTCTCACAAATAACCTGTAAAGCACTGCAGATACTGGCCCACTTACCTCAAATTAAGCAACAAGGCAGAAGCCAAGAAAGGAAAAGTACAGACAGTGCTGAACTTCTCAGAAAAGGGGATCCAGGGTTTACACATACCTAGCCATACTCCATGTTCCAGCTGGCTGGAGGTGGCTCGCTAGAAATGGCACGCTCTCTGCACATGCTCAGAAGAAAATTGAGCATTACTATTTTGCATTCACCACACCACACCAAATTTCTGGCAAGCTGTGATTAAAAGTAAGCCTGAATCTAAGGAACTAGGAAAGGTGAGGCAAGATATCTTTCAGATGTGTTGTGTTACACAGGAAATTCACAGTTCTTGCTATGTTTTTTGTGGGCAATCTAAACATCCTCCCCTTAGCTGGCGCATCTGTTGGGAAGGGGGCAGATCTAAATGCCTTTCCCCCAGCTAGGATGTCAGTTGTAATAAAAAATCTAAGATATTAGAAGGAATCCCAGGTACTGCTGCCTTCCAAAGGATTGTATACAGAATAACCAAAAACAAAACAACCAAACCCAAAAAACAGAGTGTAACTACATTATCCTAATCAACAACAGCTTTAAATTCAGCATTCTAACACCTCCAGTCTCCACTGTACAGATAGTTAAGCATGTCCTAATCCAACAACCAAGCATCTGGCTTTCCAAATTTCTGCTCCACTCATTAGAACGGGGCTCCACAACACACAGAAAGGGTGGCACATGGATGCTGAAGCTCTTTGATAGATTTGCCATTTTATGCCTCAAAACGCGTGTACTCTTCATGCCTCTCTGGTCCCTGAATTCTCACACAATCCTATGCATGCTTAGCGGGACTTGTTTCTGAGCAAAAAAGCACAGGATGATGCTGTTGTCTCCCTATCATGGTCAACAAACAGCCTAATAATAAAGGAGCAATCATCTGCTTAAAGATGAAAAAACACATAACCGAAAAACAGTATAGGGTGAAGGAATGGGGGCTGGACTCGGAAGGAAAAGGGGTCGTTTGCATTCTGCTATTTTCCCAGCTTCTCTCTCTTTTGATAGCAGCATTCTAGTGGATAAGGAGACAGTACCACGCCCTGCTCACCTCCTGTGATGGGAGCCTGAAGACTGGCCCGCTTCCTCAGCGGGGATCCGCTCTTGGGGGGCCCAGCGCCAGATGACATTTTTGCTGCCTCCTGGAAGCTCCACCGAAGTCTCGGAACCGGCGCTGCTGCCGAGCTCAAGAAAGAGGCGGGGACTAAGCTAGGCCACGCCTCTTGCCGCTGATGGATGGAGTGTGGTCCTCCCAGACCGGGGGTGGACAAAGACGCGCCCCCCCCCGCCTTCCTAAGCCGAGGATCGAGGTCGGATCCTGCGCTAGAGCGCACCTTGTCTGCTCCCCGATTCGTCAGGGAGGCCTGCGATCCCTGTCCGCTGTTACTTGGGAGTCAGTCTCATTGGAATCGGGGGGGATTTGCTTCCGAGGGAACAGGCACCAGGGAATCCCTGGATCGGCTGGTTTCCTTGCAGGCAGCCCAGACCGCTGCCCTCCCCCCGCCTTGCTTCAGTCTCAGGCTCACAAACCCCGCCTTTAGTGCGGGGCGTTTGGGCTCCTTGCACCGTGAAGGCCACACGCACGAGATCACGCCCCACGAGCAATAATTAATCCAGAATAACTACCACCCCGGGTTCCATTCCACACTAGCACCCTCCTACCTGGAAGTACAGTTTGCATTACAGAGGGGGCGATATCACCATCGGTAGTCATCCGATTGTTAAAAGTGAGGAGTGTTAACGCGATTTCGAATATACGCCCCTTCCTGATCCTGATCTTATCAGCCCGATGGCAAAAACGGGATTCTAGACACTCCCGGGCTTGCTGTTCCCAAGGGGCAAGAGCAATTGCGGCATTCTTCCTGGGTTTCGAAGAAAACGCCAAAGGGTTAAATGAAATGTAAAGTCGGCAACACAATCGGGTTAAACCGAGGCGACTGGATCCCACAAGACCACAGAAATGTATTAAAAGATACTGATGGAAATCAACGGATTTGACATGCGAGTGTCTCTCGAGCTAGCTTGTGCACTGAGCTTCAAAGGCTCTCGGTTCCTCTCCCTCCGCAACAAGCAACCAGCCAGACCCCTTTTCCAGGAGTTCGCTTCTACCGGAAGCTGTCTGCCTCAAAACCAGCCTCGACCACGCCGTCGGCCCAAGCAAACGGCGATGGCAGGGCAGGGAGCGCAGACGCCCCCCCCTTCGCATTTAAACACAGGCCAACTTGGCACAATGGACCAGATTCCGAAACGCTTGGCTCCTCCCCCTCCGAGGCCTGCCGGGCTCGGCGGCTCCTGCGAAGATGCTGAGCGCCGCCCTCCGCACCGAGCTCGGCGGGCGGAGGCGGCGTCTGCTGCAGCCGAGGCGCGGCATCCTCGGCGGCGCTCCCGGCCCTGATCCGCTGCGGGCATGGAAGCGGCATGCGAGGAGCGCCAATCGCAGCCGGTTTCCCTGCCCGGGGGGGTGGGCGAGTTTGCATAACCATCCCGTTGCGCAAGTGCCACTTGGGGGGGGGGTCGGCGGGGAAAACTTGGCTCGAGGGGACATCTTGCATTTTTCTGTGGAGCCCAGCAGCTAACCTGGCTGCACGCGAGAGAGGCCGGCTTGGGGGGAAGGGAAGTCGGTTACAGGAGACAAATGGCGGCGGAGCAGCCCTTGCACTTGAAGCGAGTTTCCGGGTAACTACGATTATTCCCCCGCGAGCGCAACGGACGGTAGCCGTCGCCTTCACCCCAAACTCTGGCCAAGCGACCCTGCTTCACGGCGCCTTTAAACGTCTGCCCTTGCGCAAGAGATCTGCTAGGAAAGACTTCGGCTCGCTACATCCGCTTTTTACACACACAAAACTTTCCAGCTCTTTCGCCTGGAACCGGCTCCGCCCTGGAGATCTGAACCTCCTCCCACACCCAGCCGCCCGCGTTACTGGGCTGGGTAACTGGTGGGGCACGGGCGCCCCCCGGAGCTCCTCTGGCTCCGGCCGCCTTCACCCTCCGCTCCCGCTCTCTTTCAGGCATGGCCCGATGAAGTTTCGGGCTGCGCGGTAAGGAAGGAGGAGGGTCTGCGAGGCAGCAGTTCGCAGACCCGAGGTGCTTCCTACCTGAAGCCATCGCGGCCCCTGCGGAGGCGTCGGGCGGCAGGTACCGGGAAACGGAGGGGGGAGTCTCCTTTTGCCGAGCCGCCGCCGCCCCGCAGCTGGAGAGGAAGCCGGCCCCTGGCAGGCCCTGGGAGCGGGGGCGTTTCGCGAGCACTTCCTGGCCCCAAGTCCCACCCCGGAGCAAGTGCTCGGCTTCTTTCTGAGAGGTCCGCCCGAGGAACTACTTTGGCCCGGCTGAGGGCTTCAGGGCGGCCGAGTGCTGGCGGGGAAGGTGCTGCTGTCACTGGCCCCGAGGAGAAGCAGCCGCATTATATAAGAGCAGAAGTGAAGATGCTACACCCACTGGGCATGCCGGCATTGCAAAATCAAATCGTGGCGCACAGGTAGGGCGGCCCAAGCCCCGCCCCGTGGCCGGCGCCGGCGGCTCCGAACAAAGGAGTTTCATCCGGCTTGTGGAAGTGCCGCCATCTCGCGGCGGTGTAACTAGAAGTCAGCCGCGAGTCAAGAAAGGGCGCGAAATGTGCCACATCCCCCCCACACACGCACAAAGAATCCTGGGAATTGTAGTTTCTCCCTCAAAGCACTACATCTCCCAGCCACCCTTGGCCAACTACAGTTCCCGGGGTTCTTTGGGGGGAAGTGCTGTCCTTTCAAGGTGTTATGTACTGAAGTTCTCACCCTGGGCCAGCAGGGGGTTACTGTAGTTTTCACTCAGGTCCGCATATGCAAATAAGGGATTGAAAGTTACGTTCAGTGATTGGATAGTTATGGAAAATGGTTACTGCTGCGTTCTAGTGGAGCTCTGTATAAGCAGGCTGGCTGAACCCTTCAGTTCAGTTCAGTTCAGGCCTGTGAATAAACAAGAGCTGTTTGAAGAATCGCTGTGTTGTCTGGTATGTTCACCCACAACTTAACACAATGCATGGTGTGTGCCTCTTGAAACTGACCTCTTGAACGAAGGAATTGAGAAGGGAAACTGCGACCTGAAAGCGCCGAATTGCAGTTCTTTGAGAGGTTCTGCGATAACAACTGTGACTTGAGTCAGGATAAAGTTCAATCACGTGCACACACGCTTTATTTATTCATTAGCTCATCCAGTGCCAGGATGCCTGATTTATCATCAACAACGGTTTACCCAATCGCCAGTGTTAAATTCCCTTCTGTACTTGCCGCATTTCATTTTCGTCTGACCTCGCAGTTCAGAATCCCTTCACCATTTGTATATATAACCTGTGACTCTGGGTAACACTTCACACATCTGATGAGGTGGCTTCTGAGCTAATGCCAGAATAAGTACGTTGATCTTTTAAAGTGCCACAAGACTCTGTTGTTTTTGCTGCAACAAACCGCTGTCCCTCTGGAAAGTGAAGTGTGCAGTCCTCCCCAGCAGGGCTTCTCAACAGCAAAGTTTCCTGGCATTTAAGAAAAAGGTGGAGTTAGTGTTGTGATAAATTACGTGTTGGTGCCCTTCCCTTTTAGTCATAGGGACATCATTCATCTTGAATAACAGCTCCTTTTCATTCTGAATTAATCCAGAACAACATGTCTTGCTTAACATATCACCTGGATTACCGTCCTCTTGCCCCAGAGTACCGAATGAAAGAAGGGAGTGGGGAGGGATTTAGAGGACATGTACAACCACAAACAAAGGCAGAATCAAGCTGCAATCATAATCATACTTAGAAATAAATCCCCTGTAGTTAGACAATAATTATTATTTATTCAATGATATCAAGGACAATAAAGATTCCATGGGAGAGTGACCAAGTAATGAAATCACAGATACAGCATTAAAATGTAATAAACACAATAGCATCTGGTTTCATTTAAAAATGTTTTGCACTTTTAGTTTTCATAAAACTTGCAAGTTTACTCATGTGGGCATTTTCTTTCTATCACGGTGGGAAAAGAATTTGTATCCTTGTGTTTCCTAGTAATCCTTGGCCTCAACCCAGTGTTCTCCACATCTTGCGCAGGCATTCACACAGCGTGGGAATTGCTCTGCAGCGCTCCCTAAATCATGCATGTCACAGTGAATATTATCAAAAGATATACTGTACAACATACAATCTGGAGTTTAAGGATAGTAGTCAACGTATGTTTTCTGCAGAGTAGATATATTAAAATGAATGAACATAGAGTAATTTTGTTCATGAATTTCAGTGGATCTATTGTCCCTCAGATACTCGGAGTAAAATTTGGTTGAATGCCACTCTAATATATTTGTCCTACATACATACATAATTTATTTGTATGCCACCTTTCCACAGTTCAAACCATGCTCAAGACGGCTTACAACATCAAAAAATGCATGACTACAATGTAAGTTGTCATGAAAAATAAATAACACATTTTTTAAAATACACAACCAAACTGAACAATTTCCACATATGATGTGCCCCTCATCAGCTGACTTCCTAAGGCCTCATTTTATGTAAGCCCTAGAAAAACTTGTAACACAGCATACCACAGTCTCATGAGTCATGAAATAAAAGTTTCTATTTTCGTTCTGAAATAACATTTTCTACATTTCTGGAATTGCATAATGGCTCACCTTAGGTGTTTTCCATTATGCCTGCTTTTTTTTTTTTTTTTTGCTATTTTTAAACATCCAGCCTCAGAAAGGGTCCTACAGAGCTTCCTGACTATTTTATAATCTTTTGATTGGTCCTAAGCAAGTTAATGTGTCCTTTCCTGTTTTTTTAAACTCACTAATAGACCAACATAGCTGCAAATGTAAATAGACCAGTTTGCTTTGAAGGTTATTTTTTACTTTAAAAGGCCAGAAAAATGTCATCCAAAAGGATATTTCCCATGCAGGTTTACACATGGTGAGGTACCTCTGGCCTGCGGGTCAGACTTGGCCCATTAAGGGTCCCCATTTGGCTCCATTCATGCCCTTGTCCTGAAACCACACCTACCTGTTCTACCCCTGATGTCAAACGCAACATTCGGTGAGGGGAAGATAGAGATTCCACTGCGGAAAGCACAAAACTTGGGCAGTGTTTCTACCGCCTACCCCCTTCACTCCCAAGGGCCAACTTTAACAGGTTCGTGGGGCAACCCACCCGTCAGAGTTGGCCTGCTGAGTTGGGGTAGATAAATATCTGGTCCGTCAGACCAAAACGCTTTCCCACCTCTGTAGTATACAAAGCTGTTGTGGATAGCTTAACCACTCTTGTCCCATGTACATGTGTGAACCTATGCATTTTGGCACTAATCTGGAAATCTACCAGTGGAATTCAGCACCATGCTAAGGCAGTTGTTCCGTCAGCCCAAACATTTATGTTTGCCAGATGGAATGAGCTCCCTCCTCCCCTGCTTGTCATTTTGGAGGTTCTCCTGACCCAAGCAGGTTTGGAGAGGGCACAGGGGTGTGGGGAGGAGAGGAAGAAGAGGAGTCCCATTATACTAGAAGGAGTTGTTATGCTGGCTTCTGCTAGTGTTGAATCCAACCCAATATATTTATATATAAACCTATGTTTCAATATTTAGATGCCAGGCAGAAATATTCCTCTTCTCCCAGGTCTTTGGCTAATTAAACAATCCATGGCCTTTTAAATTGTGGGTGGGATATTATTTTTGCTTGTTATGTATTTTTATGTTGTGAATCTTCCTGTGATCCTCGGATGAAGGGTGGTACAGAAATTTAATAAATAAAAAGAAATCTATAAAATGAATGTCTGTTTTTTAAAAAATGATACCCTCTAACTCCTACAACCAGCACTGGTTCTTCTCACTAGAATAAATGTTTCCAGTTGTTATTATTGTGCTTTATCGCACCCTCCTCCTTATGCACTCAAGAACACCAGGACTCATAGTCCTCAAGAGAGCATGTCAGATAGGGGAAGCACAAATCTTTCTGTTTTTCAAGCTACAGGTGAACTTAAAAGGCACTAGCACACTTTCTCTGTTCTAGCGAAGATCCTATTGTTCAGAATGTTGTTCTCAACACTGGTTCTGATTGGCTCCAGCAAATCTTATCAGATCTGGACAGTAAGGTGCAAAGCTAAAGGAAAATTAATTTAGCATCAGCTTCATGGTCAGGAGGTTGCAAAATATCTGCTGGGTTGCATCACAGGTG